CTTCTGCCCCAAGCATCTCCAAAAACCAACTTGCCTGCAGACTTAGAGGGGGTTCAGGGTTCAGGGTGTTGAGTTTAGAGTGTTTGGGTTTGGGTTAGGGTTCTGGGCTGGAGTGAAGGAAAAATTTGAGAGGTGGCCAAACAAGAAAAATGTTAAATCAAAGGCCCCTGTGAAACACTCAGTTTTTCAAGCCCGCAAAGGCCTAGCACAGGCAAAGCAAAACCTCCCCTGATTGATAATCAGGCCGCCACAGAACAATCGTGTTTTGCTAGTGCTTTTGTTTGACTGTTGAGGGTTTAGGGTGAGGGTTTCGGCCCGACGCCCCGACCTTAAATTTTTAAATGATTTAAGGCTTCGGACCTCAAGCGTAGAGCACCTAAGTCTAGGAACTTAAAGCCTAAAGCGAAGCCTCAAAACCATCTCAACCCTAAACCTAAAATGTCGACTGTACCTGCCCAACCTGCCCTACAAAACCCTAAAAGGGGTGTTGGGTGGAAAGCCCCAAACCCGCCAAATTTATTTGGGGGAGGGGGGGGGTATTAATCAAGAGTTCACATTAGCATTTAGCCTTCGGCTTGCAGCTGTCTTCAAGGTTTAAGAATTCCGGGCGTTTCGGGGTCATTGCTTGGCTAGGCCACACAAGAAGCCACCCTATGTGCGGCGAAGCCCCGCAGCACGAAAGCTCGCACCGTTTCCCCCACATGAATCTTCCAGGCTGGAAAAACCCTCCTAGGCTTGAGCTTTGCATGACTTGCAACGCTAACAAACCCCAAAGCGACGAGGAACAGAAAGCGAAACCTCAACCGGCCCAGACCAGATTCTGTCACGAAGCAGCAAAACATGCTCCATGCGGAGGTCGCGGGGTACACACGGGTGCTTGGGGTGTTGGATACAGGGGTGCTGCGGCACACGCAATCACGGAGACACGACCCCAGTAGAAATGCGCAACATGTTGCAGAAACCGCCCGTTCCGGCTGCAGACATCCCTTCTGATGGGCTAGTTCTACCGGCATGTGGCCTAGCCCCCTCAGCTTTGCCACCATCATCATCACCACCATCACCATCACCATCATCATAACCATCATCACCACCATCGTCTTCTTCTTCTTCACCACCACCGTCATCATCCACTTCATCAGCAACCTGTAAACTAGCATGCTACACAGCCCCTGTGCAGGCCATGCTTCCCAAACCGATCAATGCGCTTGGAATCCTCGGCTTGGAAGTCTACCGATGCATCGGTCGAGCGAGGGAGGGGGGTGTTTGATGCGGAGCCCTCTTGAAGTAGCGCGACGCCTCAGAGCTCCTTCCGTGACTCCGAGCCAGGAGAGATCTGGGACGAAAAGACATCGAGAACTATAAGTATATCATGCCTATACTGGCATGAAAGAAAGCATAACCGAAGTAGTAGTGATAGTAGCGATACTTCGATGACATTATCCTTACAGGTCAGCTCAGATACATTGACAAGATTTGCCTTCATGCGTTGCATTGGTGGTTTAGTGAAGGGTTTAGAGTTTATGGACTTCGGGCTTTAGGGTTTAGGGGTTTAGGGTTTAGGGTCGTTTCGTTTGGATCGGATCAAAACAAGCGGAGGATCAAATCCCCGAGAACGAAGTCCGCCGAGTGGGGTAGGACGAGGAAGCCGGCATAGGCAGCCCACTGGAGAAAACATGTGCTCGGAGCTTCACAACTCAGATATTCTTATTATAATGTTATTACTATAATTATGACTATTATTGTTGTTATTATTGTTGTTATTATTATTGTTATTACTACGATTATTATGACCATGATTATGACTGTTTGCATTGTTGTTCTTGTCCTGCTTCTTGCTATTGTTATTGTCATGATGATTATTATCACTATTGCTAGTATTACTTTATCAGTATTGACAAGAAGATTAGGGTTATCACTTTCAGCCCAAGTCTACGGCTGAAAAATTACTGTTTGCAACCCCTGTGACTACGAGTAGAAGATACAGAGTCGCCCAAAGGCGTGTTTTCTGCTACCATCCGGGTTTGGGGTTTAAGGCTTCACCCATAAGGGTCCTGAGCCCTGGTTAGACCGCTTCCAACTTCCGGATCAAAAGGGGTATATAGTATATACGCTCTAAATACGGGCCCCTTTTCAGGTGCCCAAAAAAGGGACGGCACCCTTACAAAAGGGACCCTAAAAGGAAGCCCTAGTTTAGAGAACTACCCATAGAGGCTTCTTCCGGGCTCTTACGGGCGGCTGCAGGGTATCACGTCTCGGTTCGGCACATCGGGGCCTGAAGGCTTGAAGGCTTTCATCAGGTCGGGCTAAACCGGCCGGAGGCGCGCACAGCGCGACCGAGAAGATCGTAATGATGACATATCCGGCACCTCGATTGCACTTGACGTGTGCCGGATGGAGCTCACACCCGGGGCTCTCAGGTCTTGGAGTTGTGGCTTGGGGTCTTGGACTCAAGGCCCAGGGACCTAGGGGCCGTCGACGTTGACGAAGCGACTTGAATTGTTAGTCAAGGCGGCGTTTCGGGGGCGTTTAGGCGCCAGATTCATGAATGGCAGAAGACAAGCACCACTGAGGTGATCACGACGACCACCAACCACAACTCGACCACCACAACGACTACAACTGCAGGGCTAGTGCCGTGAGGCCGGTCCACCGGCGTGGCTTAAGCTCTGGAGTGCAAGCTTCGAGGATTCCATGTAACGTGTTGCGACTTTGGATCACTAGCTGTGGCTTTTTGCCCGGTCCTAGCAGAGCTCAAGGGCCCCTTTGCATGCCGGGAGTCTCATCAGAAGTCGCCGCCGGCAGCCCTTCTCGCAGCGCCGAAATGCGATCATCTGAACCTCACAGATTCCACCTGAGCAGCAGGTGAACTTGAATCCTTAAACAGGGCCCCCGAGACTCGAATCGCAGCTACGATTGAGGTCTAGGGTTCAGGATTTAGGGTTTCGGGTTTACGGTGAATGGCTTTCCATGTTCTCTCCCTACAGGCAAAACGAGACCCGGCCTGAAAGGTTTGTCGAGAACACTCAACCAGCTTGGTATCACGGCTTGTTGGCTTCATGAGATTGGCAGTCTGATTCCAGCGCATGAGAGCACGACAAGATAGGCTGGCTCTTGAAAGGATGGAAGAATACATGGCTCCGGCATCTAACCGCCACAAGAAGGCACATCGACTCCAAACGCGACTTCCCGAAAAGTTCAAGGCTTAGCCGCGAGCATGAAAAAGATCCTCTCCGTTTTCGCCACTCCCCTGCACCAGCCGTCCTCCGGCCGGAGAAACCATGCACCATGAACCGAACAAAATTCGTTCTGGACCCTGGAGCAAGGTAGACCGAACTAAGGCTGCGTTTCTTCAATCCGCAACCCCCTGATTCCCCCTCAACCTCAAATAACACATCTCAAGACCTCAATCACCCTAAACCCTAAATCCCATCTGATACCCAACCCTGAATAGCCGCCCCAAACCCTACACCCATTTCGATGGTCACGGAGCACCGACATGAGACCTAGGCCCCAGAACCTTTTATAAGCTTTGGCCAACGAGCCCTTAACCCTAAACCCTAAATAAGACCGGAACCCCTGGAGAGGATGCCCAGCGGCAGAAGAAGACCTCAAACGCTTCGAAAGCTTCGAAGGACGGGGTGCTGGCGGGGCTTCGGCACATGAGGAGTTGAGGGTGGGGGGGGTTTTACATCCGATGTCGCTCGCAGACTCATCCGTCATTCTCCAATAGTATCTGCGACCATCTACGTTCAACCAACGTACCTCGTGAGGGCTGGCACCTGCTCAGACATGGGAACTGGGGATCCCAAACCCCCACAGCGGGCCAGTTCCGTCAAGACAGCGGGAGCCTCAAAACGGAAACTTCATACAGAACACCCCCCCGCATCAAGCAGATGAGGCCCCAACCTACAAACCCTAAACCCTCAACGTGTACATCTAAATCTTATGGCTAAGGATCCAGGTGTCGCTCTCGCTCGGCTTGTCTGCTGACTGGTGGAGCCAAGCAACTTGGGAGAACATACTCAGTGCAGAAAACCTCAACGAAAGATCCATGTCAGGGTTTCGGGTTCAAGGGTTTCGCGATTCGAGACTCAGAGGCTTCAAGGGTTGGGAATGTGCGTTCTCAGGGCTTAGTAACTTCGGGGTCTAATTAGGCTGTAAAGCCACAGGGCCTTGGGTGTTATAACTCGAGCTTTCACTGTGCTAGTGGTTTAGGCTCAGGGTCTTCAGATCCTCTGACATCGTCTCAGCGCAGGGTACGGTAGTGTTGCTCATCTTCTGGCGGCAGCTATATCCCCAGCCATGCGTCAGCGTAGGGTTGCAGTTTCAGGACCATAAGAAAGGAAACTGTGAATAGGGAACTCTGCAAGCCCACGAAGGGAGCGACAAAGTATCTCACAGTGACACCTAGTTACTACTGGCGAAGACGCTCTCTTGCGGCCTGGGCAGATCGGAAACTTAATCCCTTCCTTTAGCATTCTTGCGATGTCAGGGCTAAGCGCTTCGGGAAGCGCCAGGCTGTTTCGGGTTGATGATATGGGAACTGACAGTCTTTTATTCAAGTTCCGACTCCGGCGCCCCGAAGGCTTGAATCCTCAAGCTGCGCAAGCTGCGGGCTTAGGGTGTACGCCGCTCTGAAGCCGCTCCGTGGGCTAAATCCCTAAACCCCTAACCCTAATGCCCGGAACACCAGCACTGTCAAGCCGGCGCGCCATTGTGGATTCTCGGCCGCCACCGTGACCCCGACGAAGAGGATTCCTGATGCCGATGGTTATTGTCATGCTCAGTATGAGTTGTCATTCTCGTCAGAAGTATCATAGTAACCAAACGCATAGCATACCATACGTACCATCACTAGGCTGCACCATAAGTACTCTCTTATCGCCATCATTACTACGACTCTTATGATCGCTTAGGCCCAGTCTGACTATGGGACTCTTATCTGCAGCCCGACTCCGACTGAAGCTGCAGGCCCAGAGGCTCACAACCCAAGACGAAGAATTCTCAAAATGCCTTTTAGGGTTTAGAGGTTTAGGGTTTAGAGGTTTAGGGTTTAAGGGTTTAGGATTTAAGGGCTTAGGGTTTAGGGGTTTAGGAAGTTTAGGGTTTAGGGATACCTTCCTGACACCACCGCAAGACTTCTGTGCCACGGTACCCCCTAAGGCAAACCAGGCATATCCAAAAGTCAGAACCGCAAACCCAAAATCCTACATCCAAAACCCTGTACCCGAAAACCCTACATCCTGCAACGCTACATCCTCAAACCGAAACCCAAAAACCCCAAAAACAGTGAGATACTACATCCCTATCCCTCAAAGAACCCTACGCTCTCTCTCTGCCTATACTCCACGGGTCCTGCCACGTGCCACGGGATCACGAGGCCCCAGCTAAGTCCCTCGGTACCTCAGGGAGCTTCGAGGTCACAAAATATGCAACAATTTTGGTTTTAATATAAGATAGAACAGACATCTAAGAACCCTAAACCCTAAACCCTAAACCGGATTTAAGATAATGTAAAAGTTTGGGGTTTGGGGCTTTGGAGTTTAGCGTTTTTTTGCTTAAACCATGCTTAAGCTGGCTTTCGAGTTTCGGAGTTCAAGACCTCCCGAAACCCTAAACCCCTAAACCCGAAAGCCGAAACCCGAAACCCTAACAGGGGTCAAAGAGCTCCTCGTAGGTTTCTCCGGTCGTTGACTTTCCGGGTTTTGGGGGGCTTTTGGAGTTTGTGGGTTGGGGCTGGGGCTTTAGGGGGGCTTGCAGGGGTTCGGGTTTAGGGTTTAGGCGTTGCAAGGCTTTGGCTTTAGGGCTTGGGCTTTCAGCGAATGGAAGCGCTGGTTTGGGAGAGGTGGCTTGCCAACGAATGGATTGGGGGTTTGCCGGGCTTCCAAGCACCGAAGCTATTGCGACATCAAACACTCTCAGGGAAGAAAGAGGTGTTTTGGTTGGCTCCAGGACTCCCTAAACCCTAAACCCTAAACCTTAAACCTTAAACCCGAAACCCTAAACCCGAAACCCTAAATGCTGTGGGCTTGGGAGCCTTCAGGGATCTCAGGAACTTTGATGTTTAGAGCAGACGCGGCTAAGGGAGATTGGACTGCGAATTTAACACTTCTGCACTCGTATCTTATCTGCCGGGGCTTACGGGACCCAAGCTCGTGATAGGATTTCATCCGGAATCGTAAGAGGTCGTATGTTGAACACGGCTTATGAAGGAGCTACCTAACTTATGAAGGAGCTACCCAACTGGTTTTGAACCCTTAAACCCTCAACCGAAGCTTTGGACAACCCGAAACCTCGGAATTGTTCGGCATAACTTCCTTGGGGGATGGTGTTGCAGACAGTCCCCTGGTTCTGAGTCTGAACAGAGGGAAATCGCAAGTAAACCCCAAACACACCCGAGAGTAAGACTCTGGTATAAGAATACACTAGGAAAACAGTATAGTGCGATAATTAGTAATCTCATCACGATCTAAAGGTGTCAAGTGATAAGAACCATGTAGCAAAATATTGTTAATCTCAATATTCAGAAGCAGCCCCACTCTCCAATCTGAGCCTACAGCCCGCAGTCTTCACTATTGATACTATTCCCATTACAGTTCACTCTGACCATTACTACTCCACTTCTCCCAAGCTGCACCGCCGACGCGTGTTCAAGACTACCTCGGCTGAAGCAGCGGCGGGTCGGTAGTTCAGGGGCCTCAAAATTTCCTTTTAAGGGTTCCTTTAAGGCTTATGAGAGTTGTAGGACTTTAAGGCATTGATAATTAGAATAAGGCTTTGGCATACATTGTACTACATTCAAAACGAGGAACCCTGAGGAATAGCATTGGCTCCAAAATTTTAGTTGAGGGGACTGGAGTTGGGGTGTTTGGGTGTTGGGGCTCGACCGTAGCCGTAAGCCATACCGCAACCCTACTTTAACGTGTAGCCCTATACCCTAAACCCATCATGAGCCGTAAGTGATAGAGAACACCCCCCCCCCCCTAACACACCAAACCCTACTGGTAGCAACCCTAACCGCCCTAACCCTTTCGGAGGGCTCAAGATTTCAAACTCCACGCTGTGTGGGGCTAAAGGCTTCGCATAGCGCTTCTCCGAACTGACGCTTCTGGGTTTGCGGATTTGGGGTTGAACAGGCTTTGAGGAACCCTATCAAAGCTTTTAGAAGATTTGGGGGAACCCCTGAGACCCCAGAACCCTCGAGCTCCAAAGGCTGATCCTCTCGTACCTAAGGACTTTGCATCGGCAGGGTTCAGGGTTTAGGGGCTTAGAGGCTTAATATAGGGGTGTAAAGGTTTAGGGCTCAGGGGTTTAAAGGTTCAGGGTTTAGAGGTTAAGGGTTTCAGGGTTTAGGGTTTTAGGGTTTTAAAGTCTAGGGGGTCCCCAAGGTCTTGAAGCCGAAACACAGAATCCTAAAGTCCAACTCCCAAAATCTCTTCTAAGCCCAAACCTGCAAACCCTGGCCCCAAAACCCCCAAAACCTGAACTCCAGACAACATTAGCAAAACCCTCCCAAAGCTCTAAGCCCCGATCCCTAATCACCGTGTGAAAATACACTATAGTGCATAAATACTCTCTATATCTATATATATATATATATTTCTTTATATCAGTATGCGCGTATATATATATATGTATATATATATATATATCTATCTATCTATCTATCTATCTATAATACACATGCACATAAATGCTGAGTTATACAGTCTTACACTAGAATACCATGCTATATTTATTGTGTACTACACTACTACATTATGCCACACTACTGTAGTATATGATATGCTTCCATTTTGCCGACCAGACGCCTGCGGCACCAACATCAAGGCAAAGCCTGTGCAGGGAGGCTTCCTTTAGGTGCCTCAAAAGGAAGCCTAGGTCCTACTGAGATTTAGAGTTTAGGGTTTAGGTTGTCGGGGCTTCGGATTCTGGAGTTTGGTGACCCCATACCCATGATCTTAAACCCTAAGCGCCCAACCCAGCGCCTAAAACCTTTGAACCCCTAAAGCCCTCAGCGTATCGCCCTTAACGCCTAAACGCATTAGGCTCAGGGCTGTCAGCCCATTTGGAAGTTGCTATGGGGCTCGAATCATTTGAAGAGAGTCTTGGGGTATAACATACTACAAATATAGTCGGAAAGCCTAAACAATATACTTGACAACTGTTGAGGCCCCCTTTGTTAAGCCTTGACTGTTCCATGCCCCGACCCAAGAACTCGCTTCAGCTTTCCTCCTTAGGGGTAGGCTCTCGGTTGGGGGTTCGCGGCTGGTGGTTTCCGATCGCCTGTCTTGCATGCCCGAAGTTAAGGGTCTACTATTCTAGGATTCAAGGTGTAGGGCGGAAGGTTTGGAAGACCATCAAAGCTCCAATCCCATGCCAGAACCGCAAGCTAAACACAATGAGTCCGGTCCTCAACCTCCGTTGCGAAGTCAGCTGCATAAGAAACACCTCTGAAAGAAAAGAACTTCAGAGACGCGTACTCCCAAGCCCTGAATCCAAACGCGAGCCAGTAAGCATATTGCGCCGACGACGCCGAAGCTGCTTTCAAGCCAGATGGGCAGAGCCATATCCCCACCAGATGGGGCAAAAGTCGCACAGCCGAGTGCGAAGGATCACAAGTGCCGGACGCCCGTTTTCAAGCAGGACGTCGCGCAGGAGAATTGAAGGCAGTTTAACGCTTAAACCAAGTGGGGCAGCAGCTTCCTGCCACACGTAGGAGTTGAGCCAAGGGCAGCGGTTTAAGGTTTCTGCATGAAGTGCTACTAGCCTCGCAACAAGAAGCAGCGAAAAAGAAGCAGGGGAAGAATAGCCACGGAGCACATGCTAGACATGTTAACTGTAACATAGAACAAGACATACAATGTTGTTATAGCTACGTTCATATTCATGTGTATGTGACCACTCATGCATGTATGTTATGTAAGTAGGTAGGTAGGTAGGTA